CCTTGATTCCATCCCAAACTATATAGGACATTCCCTTTTCTATGAGAACCAGAGTCACAGAATTCACATCCGCACCCAGAACACCCAGAATGGATTTAGTAAAGTCCTTTTTCCTAATTTCAGCGTCACATTGCAAACCGTAGGCCACTGAGGTCATTTCTCTAAAGAGCTGATCTGTAACATCGTAATGTAGATGGCACGCTAACGCGTTGCTCACTAAAACTGGTTTAACCCTTAGAACCTTAAATAACAGCTGTGAAAAGCATTATTACTTAGGATATAAAGTTCTTGTGGAGCAAATATTGCATTTCACTTAAGTATGTATACAAATATAAATATTATTCCGAAAATTTGTGTAATTAAATAAGTATATGATTTTATTGTACGAGCTCAGAATCATGCATTATCATCTGATACCTTTGTAATACGTATTATAATAAGGGATCTTAATACTAAGATCAGTATAAAGGACAGTAAAATTAAAATAACTAATACATACATCTCTAGCTAGGGCTAGTAGCTGTAAAGTTACCCAACTGGGTGACGAAATACATTCATAGATTTGTACGCTACGACTAAAAAGTCGTTGAAAGTCAAATACAAAGATTCGACAAACAGGCACATAGAATTCGTAAGGTCCGCTGGTTCGTTCCGTGGCTTATTTGGCATAGCGTCTTGCACGGTTTGCTAGAAGACGTCGGTTCGAATCCGGCCGGATCGAAGGATCTTTTAAAATATCAAAGGTATTCAATCAGGTGTTTATTATTAATTTTGCTTACAGTAGAGTCCCTGTGAAAGAGTTAGTCCAGGGAAGTACTGTCACCTTACCTATTTCTACCGCCAAACAGTAATGTGAGCATTCCTGTGATCCGGTTTTGAAGGGTAAGGGTGCTGGTGAAATTACAGGCACATGGGACTTAGATAGATAGAAAAACACTTTATTCACTGATATAACACATATACAGATTAAGCATAAAAGAAAAAACAAAACATTATTGTCATAGCAGTGAAACGGCGCTGACTCAGCATATGCCAAAGTTTCGTAAGGCGCTGGTTTTCAGTCAGAACCAAAGAGAGGGATTAAGTTGTTTGAAATGCAAAAATATAACGACTATGCGTAAAATTACACGTTGACAATAATAATATACATATAATGCATCTAAAATAACCTGTTTGACATGTAAGTGCATTAGCGAATGTGAATGTAATTACAGCTGTAAAGTAAGTTGTGACTAAAGAGGTTTTAATGTTGTGTAATGTATTTAGTATATAATTATACACATAATGTGAATAGATCAAAGCAACAACAAAATTCGATTCTAGACGGACTACGTTAAAGAATAAGAACACACTATACAAGTTATGTCTCAAGGTGACGGGCGCAGAGTGTCAAGATATTTACCATTTAAAGATCTGAGTGGCACTGCAACTGTTATCGATAGGCATGTCACTTACCACCATGAGCGCGACTTGTTCGTCCTGTCATTTAGTATTTTATAAAAAAAACTTACCAGATATCTGACCAGCTAGAGAATGAGTAGAAAAAATTCCATGACTCTGGAACACAGAGGGAAAGTACTTTACAATATTGTAGATATTATATTTTATTTCATGGAGACTTTGTTTTATTTTCTAAAGTAAATAATGCTGCATTCAAAGATATCATTTGAATACAGCAGAATAATTTATCATTGAAGAGCTACGTGTGAAAGAGTTCGTCCAGGGTAGTACTGCCACCTTACCTATTTCTGCCGCCAAGCAGTAATGTCAGCATTAGGTACTGTGTTTCGATTTTGAAGGGTAAGAGTGCTGGTGAAATTATAGGCACATGGGACTTGTCACGTTATGTCTCAGGGTGACGTGCGCAGTGACAGTGCCTTTCTTTTCTTTAAAACTTTCCCTCTGTGCCCCAGAGCCATGAGACGTCCTGTATATAGTTGTACTTTTAACCGACTCCAAAAAAAGGATGAGGTTCTCAATTCGGCTGTATGTTATTTTTTACTTTTGTTTGTATGTATGTTATGCGATAACTCGGCACGGCATTTGTGAACCGATTTTGACGATTCTTCTTTTGTTGTAAAGAGGACACCTCCACAGTGGTCCCATTTAATGTTGAAGAGAATCTTCCACTTCTAAGGGTGGCTGTTCACGCATGAAGTTTCATTTTTATAAATAGCGCCTAAATTTAAATCTAGAAAATAATCATCGGTAGACCGCTCAACTTCGTTTCCAAGATTATCATGATGTGCCAAACAATCGCTTGAATTGTGTCCAGCAAATTGAAAAACTTCGACAACATTTTTGGTGCAGATGGAGCAAAGAATATATCTCTGAGCTTCAACTGAAGACTAAATGGCGTACTTGTAAAGACTCATTGAAGATGAACACCCTAGCAGTTCTACAGGAGGACAATCTACCACTGTTAAAATGAAAATAGGGTCGAGCTACATCTCGCGTTTCCTGGTACTGATGGCGTCAATAGAGTGGCAGAGATCAAAACTTGTACAGGAATGGTATGAAGATCTTTTTTAAAAATTTGTCCCCTTCTTGAAGCAAGTATTACTGGTTGAAAGCAAGCTTTCAATGGCCGGGGAAATATTTGAACGTTAAGTCACGCATGAAGACGTATTTTTATAAATAGCGCCAAAGTTTTATAAGGAGCAATTATTTTAATGGTTGATTTTGCTACGCCAGCAGTGAGCACCAATTTTTATTATCTCTTGTGTCAAGTCCCGTATAGTGGCGAACTAGGGGATGAATCCGGTTTTGTTTTGGTATTCTGTACTGAAATTATTATTATTATTATTTTTTTTTTTTTTAAACGCACACACTCAACATAGCCCCGCACTAGGGAAACCCTGTGTCGCGGGTGCCATGGGCACATACATAGACAACCACAAATTACACCCAAACTCACGAGAGAAATAATTGTAGGCCATACAACTATTTCTCCCGGCCCGGGAATCGAACCTGGGACCTCTGCGTGGCAATCCGGCACGGTAACCGTGCAGTTATTTCAAATGAAAGTAATTGCTCGTTACACATCTAAAATATAGAACAAAATACAATAGTTCCACTTTGTGTGTATTTCTTCTAGATACTTCTGCATTTTCCCATATCCGTTAAATACTTTTCTATTTTAATGAAATTTAAATTATTAGTTGCTGATGATTTAACAGTGGTATAGTCTGTATCGAAAGCCAATGTCGTAGCACTGTATAAATACTCATACACCTACCGCACCCGGGTTTGTATTTATTTTTATCGTTCATAATGTATCCGTCGTCGTCCATCGCCTAAACAGGGGACCAACCTTTTAATCACCTATCGATTTTTCGCTCATGCTAATAAACTGGACCTGAAGTTTTAGGCGACGTCCGCGTTCACTCAAATTCTTATCATCCCGCCTTCATACATATTTGAAATTCGTGTTTTGGCTCTCCCGTCAACAACACGTTCCTAGCAGTAAATGAGATTGGCTGTAAACACCTCACAAACATTCCAAACTTAATATTTGGATACATTAATATTCGAATAAGGGAAATTTACTCGTTCGCTCGCGATAAATTGCCTAACGAAATACTCACGTTGCCCGTAATGGGTGCATTACGAACACATTGAGAAACTAGGTGAGTAACCTTTATAACATGGTTTTAATAAGGCCGATAACGCTCAGCTGATATTTGAACTTGATTTGAAATTGAATAAAGATTACGAGAGTTTCAGTGCCATTGCCCGTTTCTTCACTCACTATTGTTGCAGCAATTTTTTAATGGAAACGGTGTAAAGTTTGCCGACTGGATCGGCGGCGGTTCGGCATCAACGACGACATGACACCGTGCCATCGACCTGGCTTGTGTGCGTTGTGTAAATAAAGTATTACAGTGTGTGTGCGTGCCGGTCAATATTACCAGCGCTACGCATTATCCCGAGCTCTATTTATTTATTCACTACAATGAATTGAATATATGGAAATAGTCGGACTTAGATACTTTTGCATGTTTCGAGTAACTCACCACAAAAGTGGTGTTTTTCTTTCTTCGTGCACGCCTTCGTTTTTGTACACAAATTAATTAAATATGAATAAATAAATAAATATTCGACCGTCATAAAGAACTCATAAGTATACCCATTGGTATGCATGTATAAATATATTTTTATGACGTGTTTCAGTCATACTGACCACAACTTTCTACACGCTAAAAGTGCTAAATATTGCAAACTTGAAACGAATGTAAAGTGCACTTTGAATTCGTTAGCTTGACCTTGATTTTTGTCTAGTATGCAAATATATGTAGCATTCTGAATGCAAGTAAAAATTTGTTCATATTTTTGGTTACTTTGAACGTTGAGATTATCTTGACGCTGACTGGTACCGCTGGTACCGGTGGTATAGTGGCTTAGAATAGTCGAACCTGCCCAGTACTGCTTCGCACTTAGTTTTTTGCTTCTTAAACACAGTTTTATTAATATATTAAATTGCCTGAAAAACGGTCATTGACACGACGTGTTTGTTTTTTAGACTATCGCCTCTCACGCCTCCGCGCGTTGGATGATTATTTTTCGTACGCATTCTCAGGTTCACGGCTACTTTGTTATTTATGTTTCGCGTGCGACTGCCAACATTTCCACACGAAATCATGACCTTTCACGAGCGATGTTGAGGTACATGGAAAATGTTGCCGCACGCTCAATCAGCTGTCGAATAATGTAGACTCGCGATATGGGATTTACTTTGCGATAGCAGCCACGTCGATAAGAACTATTTTAGTGTGGGTGCTCGTGCGAACAGCTGACGTATCACAATTGAACGTCGCATTTGCACTACAGTTTCTCAAGTCGATGACACTATTATCAAAAATATGTGAAGTTATCTATCCATCGTAGACTTCCTTAAGCCCCTGGTATTGTGTTTCCAGATGGAGCGAATTCTACTCAATGTTTACGTGTTCATTCACACGCTGTGTATTGTGGAGTGTGGCGAGGTTGCGCCTGCGCAAATGGCACGACCGAGCCCTCTTTGTTTGTTGACAAGCTGCTCTGTTCGCGTGTAGACGTCGTACGCGCCGGTTGTGTTGCGTCTTGACTCTACTTTGTAATATTCTCTCGCGTTATCGAGTTCGTCTAATTTTAGTGCAGTTTTTAAAAAAAATTGCCCCTTCTGCGCAATATTATAGTGTTCCACACAGTGTTTTGTGCGTTTCTTCGTCCAGTCAACGTTTGTTCGGGAAGATTTCTTCAACTTCTAAAATTACTCGCTCACCAGTGAGCCAGAAGGTATTGTTTTTTGCTGTGTTTTATTATTTGTGTTTAACCTTGTTACTTCAGTAGAAAATACGTTGCATTCGAATATATTTCCAACTCTAACGCGTACGTCCAATTAAATATTTGTACGACAATTCAATCAACATCCATATCAACCTTCACTACATATACGGATTTCAATATTGTTTATTTTATCTGGTGTGTTAAATAGCTAGTCTTCACTCAACGATTGAATGCACGTCGATATCTCTGCATTAATGCATGCAACGAGCGCACGTGGTGAATAAGTGGTCGAGTCACTTTGCTGTAATAGTTTAATTAAATCAGTTAGAAGCAAAAACTGTTGTTGTATCTGTTTAAAAGTGGAACAAGTTGAAAGGATCGTGACATTAGACAGTGTCACACGGTTTCACCGGCGGCATCACTAATGAACAGAAAGACAAACGCAACGCTTACTGCGGATACAGTTATAATTTGGCCGGTCGCTGTAGAAGGCGACTAGCGGTACCTCTTATGGCCGTCTGGTGGCCTGGTAAATCTCTCGCATAACGGGATGTATATTGCACTGTCAGTATCGCACATTCCCACTCGTTTAGGCGACTTTTTGCGACTCACAACGACAACCGCAAACACTTAATAAAAACCACAGACGAGTGTTTTAAATAAGTTCATTCCATTGAACTAGACATTAGCGTGGGTGCAAATATAGAATGGGTAAACAAAGCCATTTATGGCATATATACATTATATATAGATTTTTACAGAAAGATGAAGTATACTTATGGCGTCTAATGCAATGCAACGTAACATACAAGACGCAAAACATGTGTATATAGAAGATAAGGCAAACACGAAAGCAGTGCTTTTGTGTTTGCGTTATCATCTCTATAACGTGACCTTAATTTCATTAGAATGTTACGCTCCAAATTAACATTATCACGTTTATAATTTGGATTAGTTTGTTTGAAAATGAAATAAAGTTTTATTAAAGTCTCTAAACTTGGTTTTATCAATGCAGAACATGGTTTCGTTTTCTCTAATAGCACATCACAATCATGAGTTGCCAGTCATATTCTTTAGTGTTTTATACAGTGTTTACCTTGTGTTACTCAGTACACATATCGTCATATAAATAATATTTGAGTAGGAACAATTTTGCTTCCATTCATATCATTATAATCGTTGGTTATTCATACATACAACCAAATAAGATGCTTGCCAGACCGCGCTTGCTTTCTGAAGAATTCTATGATGTAAAAGAAACTCTAGTCGTTTTAAGTATAATATTGTCTCCAGCAGGTACGTTTAGTAACCTCCTAACAATAGATTTGGAATCCTCCTGTGCTTTATTTACGCCGCTTTTAATAGTTTTCTTTTACTGTATTCCATTCATAAAATATATTTTTTTAACTCCTTTTATCAATAACAATCTGTTGTACCTTATACTAAAAGTTCTTATACAGCTACGTTCTAAAAAGGTAACCGTCGTGTGTTGACCTCCTACGCGGACAGTCATTTTAACCCCGATTTAAAAATAAGCAAGTGAAAGTTGAATAGTTAATGATCTGTTCATAGTCAATCGTAAATCATTTTTTCTTTCTTTTCAAATCGTAATTTTGGATAATCCGGGCCGGGTTTTTTACACATTGTCTGTTGTTTCCTTTTTGAAATTCAGTATCGTAATGCACTTAATATGATGGTAGTTTGTCTCACTCACGTCAATTGTAATGCAGTCGTTAGTTACCTAAAACAAAATTGTAATTTTGGAAAAAAACCTTAGACATGTGATATGGCTATACCGCATGTTATAACCTCAACTTTAAACCAATCTATAATTTGGACGACAGCCGCCACGTTACTCCGAACTGGTTTCTTACGAGTTTTTGCTTGATTTGCTTTGGACGTCTTTGTTGAAACAAAACGTGATTCAGAAGGCGAAAGTCCTGGCATCGGGCCAACTTTCCTGCATGTAGCCTTCAAATTGCATTTGGCAAATCTTACACAGTAAAGACTCCTTTGTCTTTCAACGCCAAATGAGAATAAAGTATGAGCCTGCCCGAAGACAAACCAATTAATTTGGTTTTAGGGAAGTTTTGTTTCCAAGATTGTGGTTTTGGTATTTATATTTATAAATAAACAAATGAACAAGAAAGGAGAGAGGATTCCGACTGTTCATTGACTTAAGAACTAATTGATTACTTTATAAAATAATTTATGTATAAACACATATCAGCAGTGAACGTTCCATATGCGAAGGCATTAATGACAATGACAAGTTGAAATCTTATGGAAATCAATAAAGGTGCCATTGATCAAACAAAACGAGTAAAATTTTATGCAACGCGCTATCGAAATCGTATTTTTTGTCGATCAACATGTGTAATTAGCCAAAATCGAGTAACTGTGTAAGAAGCAGACGATTGATATAGTATTTTTTCTACTATATTCACTAAACCGAAACTTGTCGATCGTAAAAAAATCAAGCAAATCTCTAGGCACCTTAAATCGGTTACTACCGTTAATTACTTAACGCATGCGTGTCAGTCAGCCTCACAACAAAGAAAACTGATCTCTCTTGAGAGCTAAGGATGCGTTGGAGGTTAATGTTGCATAGATTGAACTACAAATATTCATACGAATTTTAATCGTCTTTCATCGCGTATCGTCCTAAATACGTCTTTCATAAATATATTGTTATTAACAAACAACCTTTCAATTTCAAAGGTAGTATGACGAATTTTCATTGGCATTTTCTTCCGTTGACCTTGTCAAAGGTGAACGAACCAGGGGTAATACTATGCGCAATAGCGCATAAAAGTTCGATGATCTTTTGTTTTTATTCATATTTGAAGAATACCCCGGAAGCGGTAACTTACGGTATAAGACACTTGAGCCTTGTTAGGAAGTAAAATACATTTAAACGAACCTCAAGAACTTATGAATAGGTCTCGGAAGTTCCTTATTAGAGGGCTAGGTCGTTTTATAAATCCTCTCTCAATGAAGGATGTGCTTTTGTCATTTTAATGACCGGTATGCCTTTTTAGATTATCGATTTCATTTATGTCGTACTGGCGACATCGATTGATTAACTGTTCAACTTAATTTCATACCTAACTGAAATAATATACCAAGTTCCTTACACCAAAGTGTCTGTCTATAATATCAAGACAATGATGACACACATGAATTTTATTACTGAGTTATCTATGTAACGGGCCTTTATCTCAATTACCTAACCATAACAATAATAAGGAAATGATAAGATTGCACGCTTTGGTCATTAGTTTGTGACGATGATATTAGTGATCGCTTTAGACATTGCTTATCATATACACGATGTTTTTTAATAAAATAATCAATCATTTTTGCTTAAAAGATTGATAAGGTGATTCAAATAACATTAAGTTTTTTTTATGAATAGCTGTGACAAATGCCTTTAGAAGTACTTGTAAATCTAGGGCTCACTCAGGGTGCTCCACTAGGCCCTGTGTATTTTTTGTTTATGGAGCTTGACGTTTCTAAAAATTTCCTACGACGTTATATTTGAAAACAAAGAGCTAATTAGTTGCAGGCAGTTGTGAGTTAAGCGTTAAGTACTTTTCTTTGTATTAAAGGTACATTATTAATATTTCCTTACGAAATCACGATTGTATCAACCATCCAACAAACCAATATATGAGAAATGACATCTCTAATATAAATATATTGTGTCCTCAATTACAAATTGTGTATTTGCGTGAACAACAGACGTAAATACCGTTACGCAATTGACATTGATTGTACAAAATTATCTTACACCGTTGAAGTTCATCTGTAACATTAAAATAAGACCTCAAATTATCTTTGGACATGTTCTCTTTTACAAATAATTTTACGTTTTTCATATTTTTGCTGTAACTGTTTTCTTTACCGTTATTTCCTTATTACTGTAGAGACATTTTGATTATTCATCATAATTTTTCCGTAACATTATACCTGTGTTGTTATTCATGTCATTACATTTTAGATGAACCAATATTTTTCGTTTTCTGTCTGCTTGCTTGTTACCAATATGCAAGTATATCTGTCAGGATATAGATGATGTACATTGGTGACATTAATGTAAAGCTGATAATTTTCGCTGACGTTGCTTAGAGCTAATTCGCCACTCATGGCATATTCATCAGTCGTATATGATGACCTGTAGTTGAAAGTTCCTAAATAGAGAATAACAAAACCTCACGGTCAGTGCCACCGTTTATTAAACCAGTGTTAATAAAACGCAGTCCTGGACTGTTGTTGGCTCAACTCATGACTCGCAGTTACTCAAATGCGCAGTTCCACCAATTTGGATAACAACAACTGAAATAACCACAACACCCGGTAAATTCGCTCGAAAAAACAAACGCTTCGGATGATACAATCTCAATGTGTTTTTTTTCTAGTCAACTTACCATTTTAAAGAAATTGGAAAATGGTGTTTTAAGGACATCACTATTTTGGTTTAACATTTCGATCGACAATTATAACTATTTTTTTCAGATCTAAAATCGCATACATTTGCTTTTTCAAACAAATCAGCGTTTCGTGCTTTTTACAGGTCCTAGATCAGTCCCAATGTATACAATCGCAAAAACCTAAGAACTCGATATGCTACCACATAAATTGCACCAAATTTCCTTTAAGAAGACTCTTATACAATCTCAAAAGGCTTTGGTTGATTCCGCATAACAGTGAAGTGTTGAATCAATCACTTCGGAAAAATATATAGTAAAATTGAGGATATATACTGGTCAGTATACAGTGTGAAAACACCTTTCCTAAAAATTTTCACGATGGAAAAAAAAAACACAAACTTACCTATCTCGAAATTTTACAAGATAACCGCTATATTCAATGGGTGAAACTGAATTAAATAGAACACGTATAGTATACGATATACATTTTTCAAATGGCTTTAATTTCGTTTATGGAAAAATAAATTCTGAAATAAGCCAGTGTACTTGCCGCTCGACCCAAGCAAAGTGAACTGT